AGGGGGCGCCGCGGCAGCGGGTGAATGAGAGTTGGCCCCGATCTCCGCGCAGGGTAAGCGGCGCGCGCGCGGACGCCCACACGGACCTCGCGGACACACGGACACGATCCCGGCACTGGCCGGCCGAGCCGCGACCCGGCGCGCTCGGCCACGCTCATTCCCGTGCCGGGAGCCAGCGGCCTTCCTAGAAGGGCCCCGCGCGGGCGCGCCCTGCACACATGCCCCCAGGTCCCGCGCGGGGCCGGAGCGCGCGTCACGGCCACCCCCCGCCTCCCCTCCAGCGCGCGCTCCGCGGTCCCTGGCGCCCGGCCGGCCTGGGAGAGGAGGACGTCCCGGGGACGCGGGGCCCGGGCTGGGGTGCTACTGGTCGCCGAGTTGGGGGTCGCCGAAGCTAGGTGGGGACAGGGGCTCGGCGAACGTCGTCCTGGAACCCACTCCCTGGGGATACAGGAGAGAGGAGGAGGGAGCCCGCGACCCTAGAAACGACCCCGCCAAAAAGTTGTAGCCACTCGCCCCTTCCTGCACCCCTTTTTCTGCCCTGTCTGCTCTCCCTTTGTTTGTGACTTCTAGTGGGCTCTGCCGGGACCCAGGGCTGCCTGCAGGCCAGGAGGTGGAGTGGAGTGTGGAGCCCCCAGCCTAGGGCCCCCACCTGCCCAGAGCAGAACCAGCACCCCTGTCCAGGCCTACAACTGGGGAGGAAGGAGAGCCAGAGACAGGTGGGCGGGCGCCCCTGCCCCTGACAGTGGCTCTGTGGTGGGAGGAGCAGCGGGCCCCAGGGTTGGGGACCTCCATCGCCGTCCCCTGAAGCCAGGTTGCTCTTGGGGTTGTTGCCAGCCCTGAATTTCCAGAGGCAGGGAAAATCCATTTTGGGGGAGATCTTTTGCAGAATGGGAATCTCTTCTTGCCTTCCCTGTGCAGGTTGGGGAGGAAATACAGAGTTCTGAGCCTCTCCCACACACGCAAATTGTGGCCGTTGGGTCCCAGGCCCCATAGTGACCCAGCTCCGGGGGGGGGGGGCGGGGGTTGTTTTAAGTCTGGGCCTGGCAGGACGGGCAGGGGCAGGGCTACACACTGGTTAAGAGAGAACTTTGGAGTCTTGTCTCTGTCATGCCTCTGCTCTGTGACCTTGGGCAGGGAGGCGTTCAGCCTCCGTTTCCCCCCCAGTAAAGGGAGGGGAGGCTGGTAAGAGTATTAACTGAGGTTATGCAGGCCTCCCACTGGCCAGGCACACCCAGGGCAGAGATCAGAACACCCCGGTGAGGCTGGCGGTGTCCTCTGCACCCAGGCAGCCAGTTTCCCTGACTGCCCCACTTGTGTCCCAGGCACATTTGAGGACATATCTCCCAGCTGGGTGAGACCCACTCTTTCCCCTGTCCTGTGCTGGGATGAAAGCCCATCCCACCGTTGTTAGCTGGGACACCTTGGATCAGGGACCTAGGGAGACCTGTCCCACCTCCTGCTGCAGACCCTCAAAAACCCTCTGCCTGGCCCGGGTAGGGGGCCTGACCTGGCTGGCCTTCTCCCTGTCTTGGCCATGGTGTTGGTTCTGCTTTAGCACTTTGTGACCATGGGGCAGGGGCCTTGAACCTCCAGAGTCTGGCAGTATTGGACTCGTGGCAGGCCGTGGGGGTGCCACTTTGGTCCTGGGGACTGGGAGGTAGGGGGTCCTCAGGGCCTGAGGGTGGGCGCCACACCTCCTCTGCCCTTCTTCCCTCTCAGCTGCCCCGGCTGATGGGGTGTGGGGTGTGGCTGCCCCGGTGGTGCGGCCTGGGGACGGACAGGGCCTGTCCTTGTGATGTCTATGTGTTTGCACTCAGGAAAGGCATTTCCTGGAAACTGGTTGGGAAAGTCTTAAACTTGTGGTCTGCTTGGCTCTGGCCCTGGCAGCCTGTTTATTCTGTGTCTTCTGTAGAGGTGGGCGAGGGACCCCTTCTGGAGCAGGAACCAGGCTGGTCTCTCCCCAGGCCGCCAGCCTTCAAGGCCCCCCTCCGTGCCCTACTCTTATCTGTCGAGTCCAGCCCGGAGTGGGTGTCAGGAGACCAGTGGTTGCCAGCTCTGGGTGACCCCCACTCCCTGTGCTCCCTAGGCCTCACCTTCACTGACTGGAAACGAGGAGGAGAATCAGGCCTGTTTTTCCTGAATCACCGTTTTTGCTCTACGACAGAACAGAATAGAATCGTGGTTCAGGCACGATGAGACAAAGTGCTGTTAGATCCCAGCGAACCATGTTGCCAGGGGAGGCCGCGAGCCCCCAGCCCACCCTCCCTGTGTGACAGCCATGTTACAGATGTGACAGAGATGCCAGCACCGAACCCAGGCTGCTCCTGATGGGATCCGTGTAATCGGAGAACAGAGGGGCCCCCTTGATGGGTCCGTGGTGTGACCCGTGGTCGTGCCCTCGGTACCCCCCGTGGACCCCTTCCAGCTCTCCCTGTTTTGTGGTTTGGGTGTTTCCCTCCGGAAGCTGGAGCTGCCCGGGCTGTGTGAGGGATGGGGTTCCCATCCTGGCGTGGCCTGGCTCCAGCCAGCTGCCCCTTTCCGGGGGCGGCCCTTTTGGGGCCCTGGCATGTTTCCCCCGGCCCCTCACCTCTGGTGTTTGGCTCTCTGTGCGTCAGGATGGGGGGGTCCTGCCTGGCAGCCGTGCTGGGGACTTGATGAGCGTCTCTGGAGCACCTGTTAGTGCAAAGCGTGTGCTGGCTAGGAAGGAAGTCACTGGTGGCCGGCTGTGTGGCCTGGTAACCCTGTCTCTGAGCTTCCGCCTCCTTCCCTTCTCATGGCTGCGGCACCTGTTGCCGGGAGGACGGGGGACCATTTCCGTGCGTGCTTGCTGCCCCGTGGGAGCTCTGACCGCGTTGGGCTTTGTAGCAGTGCGTCCTTGCACTTAAAGAATTTGGAAATGAATTGGGGGAGATGAGACGTGGGCTGTGGAAGTGAGTAGTAGGAGGAATACAGATGTCCTTGTTGGGGAGCGGCTTCTGTTTGCTCAGCCCAGGCAGGGGTGTCTGTGGGAAGCCACTCCGGGAGAAGGTGTCCACTCCCATGGCGCTTGGAGGAAGGCCCCTGGGGCGGGGGTACTGGAAGCTGACTCGGAGGCTCTTCGGCACTGCTGTGGGTTCAGGCTGGTTTTTTTCCGTGGCTTTTTTGGTGGCACGGCAGTGGGGACTCTGGTTGAGTCTTCATCCCGGCCACAATCCCGAAAATACCCCACGCAGAGGGGGTAAGAGTTCAAGTCCCCAACAGTCCGGTTGGCGGGCGGCCTTGGGAGGAGGCCTGGGTCCCTGAAGGTGATGGTCATTTAGTGAACAGTGCGTGTTGAAGGCGCAACCCTGCCCGGGTTTGGAGTTGGCTGGCGGGGTCAAGAAACGTAATCGCTTAACTTGAGAACTTCGAAGGCAGGTCGCTCCGACTTTTCTTACAGAGATGGAGGGTTCCCTGATTAGAGAAAACCGTGTTCCTTCGGCCTTTGGTGTCTGCGTGTGACCCACACGGGGTTGGGGGGGCTGGGGGAGACTCTGGGCCCCTCCTCCTCCGCTGATGACCAATGCCTCCTGAGGGCTGCTGTTGAGATTGTCGGGCATCTGAGTTCTAACTGGGTTGTGATCCTGTTTGAGCCCTGGGACCGAAGTCCCCTGCGGTTACACTGGAAGACAGGAAGTACTGGCTGTTCAAACTAACTCTAGTAATAGTGACGGAAATCACTCAGTGTAGCGTCAGACATGGGACGGGTGTTCTCCACGCATTGTGCCACTCCCCACTGAGAGAAACTGAGGCACAGAGAGGCGGGCTGGCCTATGCTCCCATTGCTGAAGTAGCTGGGCTGGGATTGGAACTTGGGTTGTTTGGCCGCTAAGGCTGTGTTCTTGACCTCAGTGCCGCCCCGATAACCCCTGTGGAAAGTTGAGGAACATTTCTGGGGGCTCGCGAGAGAGATGTGAGCAGTAAGTTTAGAGTCGTGGTAGGAAGTCTTTCTGCTATCAAACATGAGGCAGTAGTGAGAGCGTCCCTTACCCTGGGCCTGACAGCCTTCTAAGCACTTTATATGATTGATCTTTGTAACAACTGGAGGTAGGGGCTATTATTAGCTCCATCGCACAGATGAGGAAGCCCCAGCTCAGAGAAGTTAAGTAATGTCCCTGAGGCCACAAGCTGGTGAGTGGCAGAGCCAGCCGTGAACCGGTGGTCTCTGTTCCTAACTGGTAGCAGGGGGGTTAGGTGGAGAAAACATGATCTTGCCGCTGTGTGTCCTTGGGCAAGATGCTTAACCTCTCTGGGCCTCAGTTTGGTCACCTGTAAATAAGGGTCTTGGTGTAGGATGCAGAAGCCAGAGGTTTGAGAGCACTCTGCCATCCACAGAAAGGTCTGGCCAGCTTCTCCAAGGAGGAGGGAGGGGGGTATGGGGAAGATGGTGGAGCAAGTGGGCAGGTGCTCGCCATCCCCAGCACGGACTGGTGGTGAGTGGCCTTGGTTGGAGTCAGGGCATCTGGCTGTCTCAGGGCTCCGTCCCGGATCTGGGGAGAAAGATACGTGACACTGGGGGCCATATTGCTTCCCTCTGAAGTGGGGGTGCTTGGAAACCGTAAAGCCCTGCACTCAGTGACTTCTTACCTGTTCCTCCGGAATGAGGGATGGGGAAGGGGGCTCTACCCAGAGCTCCTCTATGCCGCCAAACCCAGGTTAAGCTGTGGGTAGGAGACACCAAATGTGCTGGGCACCATTGAGGGCCCCAGAAGTGGGGGGGAAACAGCTCCCCCTCTCTTGGTCAGGTTCCCCACCATCAGTGGAAAGCACTCTGCTTCTAGCCCGTCCCCCTGTGGGCAGCAGGGGCTTGGGGCTGTCTGGGGATGAGCACATGGCGTGAGGAGGCAGGAGGCCCTCCCCAGTGCTGCCAACATGGAGTGCAGGTGGGGGGCACATCGGAGCCCATCCTGTGCCCCAGCACCCTCCTGGGACGGAGAGGCGTGCAGCCTCCGTTCTGACCCACCCGTCCTCCCCTTCTCCCTCCCTCTCCGCCCCTTCTGCCCGTGGAGCCTGCAGGGCTGCCAGAGCCCTGTGT